CGCTGCCTCCGCGGCTACGGGAACCGCCATTTTGTATGTCAAGTGCCAGGAAAGCAGAAAAAAAACGGCAGACAATGTGCTCGGTGCCAATAATGGTTGCCAGTGGCACCGAGGTTGGCATCAGACCCTCTTTGTCTCGTTGCTGAATGCCTTTGATTCGTTGGTTGGCATCCGCATTGCAGTGGGCACATTGGAAAGTTTTTGACAATCGCTGAATGAAAGCCGCAGTACTTGTTTGCTGCAACAGAAACCAGATAATAAAAATCCCTTCTCCTTATAGATGCTTTACTTAGTCTTACAATGGCTGTTGGGGGAAAAAAAAATTGCATTGCTGCTTTTCTAAAACATATCTGCAGCAACGTGTCTCCGCTGCAGAATTCCTCACCCCCCCCACCCCGTTGTCTCTGCTGTTTTTGTTTTCTGCAGCGTAAATAAAGTGCAAACTCGCTGTTAGATATTTCAACGCGTGCTGAATGAAGCATCGTAGACCTTGAGAAATGTTTTGGGTGCCTAAAGGGCTGAGGCGGTGGTAAATGCACTGAACGTTTTTAAGTGTTTTAATGCGTGCGCCTCTCAACGGTACGTTTCTCAGATCAGTCACGTTACTGTTTACAGTCTCCTTTGTCCTCGTGTAAGAGTGATATAATTGGGGGGAGCCTGTGTCCCCAGCTGTTGATAAAAGCTGAAGTTGAGGGGGTGATCTTTTGAACTATCCAAGAAAGAGAGCAAAAAACAGATACAGATCTCCGCAGCCCAATGCTGTTCAACACTTCTGAATCTTTGAAGTTCTTAAAACATCAAGACGCTATGACAATTCCAGCTGCATGATTTTTCTTACCAGGGAATCAGCGAAAAGGCTAAACCGTTTCTGCTGGAAGTTTCCTAGATAGCTAGCGTTAATATTGCTTTCCGGTTAACCACTGTTATCTCGTTAATTAATAAGAAGGATTAGCGGCTCTACCCAAAGGGCTGCGCAGAAGGAAGTCTGGCCTACGTGAGTCCCTGAACCGCCCGACTGTGTCCTGTTGGTTTGGGAAGAGAGAGGGGGGAAAAAGAAAATAAAGAGCGAAGAAAAGAAAAAGAGTGAGGGGGAGAGCGGGGAGATTTTTTTTTGCTGCGCGCGCAGCACATGACCGCAGCCGGCTGCAGTTTAAACTAACTAACTACAGCTTGCTCATTTTTGCAATGTACTTTGTGCTGTTCCTAAGCACGTTTTCAGGTAATCTCAGCCGGAGCGGGGAAGTTTCTGTGCTGCATCTGCATTGATTTGAAACTGATTTTAGGCTAGCTTAACACAGACAAAGTGGTCATGCTTTACTGAAAGGGGGTATTGCTTTCTCACTTAGACAGTCCTAGCAATACGTATGCACAGCCTTGCATTGAAAACCATGTCTTCCTTTCACAAGGAATTTGTTTTTAAATGCAATTTGTTTTCAAATGTGCTATATCTGAATTGTAAGAATGAGCTAGTGAAATATCAGTGTATCCATGGCTTGATATTTTTATTAAGCTTTGTTTTCTTTGAGAGAGTTTGGTGGATACATTTTTATAGGGAACTTAAATTTCGAAATAGGTTGGTGTGGTCATTCTTAAATAAGGCTTTATATTACATTTAGTATACATCTTAGAAAACTGGTGTTACAAGAATACCAAAAAAATACTATTCATATTTTAAAATGATATATGAAATTCTTTTTGTTAGTTCACTGTGAGTGGAAGAAATTCCATTTAAAATCACATCCCAAATAGTTCCGAATTCTGAATAGTTCTGAGTTCTGAATAGTCTCCTTTCTGTACGGCTCATACGATGTTCATATATTAAAAGTTTCACAGCACTCTGTCGGATTTTGGACAAGGGTTTGCATTTCTCGAGTGCATCAGTGCTTCATGTGCAATTAATAGAAGAACTAGGGCTGGAAGGATCAATCAGTCTGTTGAGTTGCTAATTGTTCCTAGTTCTATTGGTTTTAATGATTTACCTCCTTCTGAATGCTTTATGTGGGAACATACAATTGAACATTTTAGCTATTTTGCAATAGGGTATGTCAAGGCACAAG